AGGGTGGGAAGAAAAATAAATAAATGGTGAAAGGAGGAGGGAGAAGGAAAACAAAGAAAAGCCCCTTTATGCAGTTAGCTGCAGCCGCCTGGGATTGTCACTGGTGGAAAGTAGGACAGTCCTGCTGGGTTTTCTTTGGAAAGGCTAAACTTGGCTGTGAGTGGGTGGAAGCAGCCTGGATGGAAATGCCTGTATGTCTCCCCATCCCCTGCTCGGCAAGTTCCACTGCTGCAGGGCTGGAGAGCTGCTGGCAGGAGCTGCCTGTCCAGCCTCCTTGGGTGGATTTGCCTAGGAAGGCTTCAGCCCAGGCTTGCAGAGGTGATGATGTGTTCAGCTTGCTGAGATGAGTAGGAAAGCCAACCATATCCTGGGCTGCATCACCAGCAGCATAACCAGCAGGGTGCAGGAGGGGCTGCTCCCCCTCTACTCTCCTGACACCCCCCCTGCAGTGCTGTGTCCAGTTCTGGGGTCTCCAACACACAAAGCACATGGAGCTGTTGGAATAAGTCCAGAGGAAGCCACAAAGATGATCAGAGGGCTGGAGCAGCTCTGGAGACAGGCTGGGAGAGCTGGGGGTGTTCAGCCTGGAGAAGAGAAGGCTCCAGGGAGACCTTAGAGCACCTGCCAGGACCTGAAGGGGCTGCAGAAAAGCTGGGGAGGGAGTTTTGACAAGGGCATGGAGTGATAGGATGAGAGGGGAACAGTTTTAAGCTGAAAGAGGGGAAATTAAGATGAGATAATAGGAGGAAATTCTTTGCTATGAGGGGGGTGAGACCCTGGCCCAGGTTGCCCAGAGCAGCTGTGGCTCCCCCATCCCTGGAAGTGTTGAAGGCCAGGTTGGATGGGGCTTGGAGCAGCCTGGTGTAGTGGAAGGTGTCCATGGCAAGAGGGTTGGAACTAGATGATCTTTAGGGTCCCTTCCAACACAAACCTTTCAATGGTTCTGTGAATTTGAGTCTCAGCTTCTCTGCTCTTCAGGCTGCTGCAGAGAATCTGAGGTCTTGGGTTGCTCACCAGGATCAGAGGAGGTTGGGGTGCATGTGGTGTTGGTGGAAGGAGAGTTGGGAGGTTTTGGATGAGCAGGGTTCCCTGGTGTGTCTGCAGAGGTGGAGCAGCTGGTGGCCTGGCTGTGTGAGTCAGGCATGGGAACATGGAGCAAGCAGTGGCTGCTGTCATTTGGGTTAAATTGCAGATGGGCCATTTCATGTGAGTTGGGAGGCAGGAGAACAGAACAGCCACTGAGCACTGGAGCATCTTTTAGCTGGCTGATGCTTGTACTCCCATATGGAGGGCTGTGACTTGCTCTTGCCATGTTCCTGGATTTCCCTGGCATCTCTTTCCCCCAAACTAGGACTTCCCTAGTGCTCCACACCAAGGGATGTGGCTTTGCAGCCTCCCTGGTGAAAAGCCCCGGAGCAAGGGCAGCACAGGCAGCTCTGATGTACATGGCCAGGGGATCCCTACCTTGGGGCTGTGGTGCCCCTGACATTAATGAGCTGGCCAAAATGAGGCCTTAAAGCCCAAAAATGTGATTTGGAGTGGTATCTTCAAAGGTAGGAGCATGGCATGAGGGCAGGAGCTAGCAAGGCCTTGAAGCTGCAGGTTGTCTTGGAGCAGGGAGTCACCTCTTCCTTCTCCTGCTCCTTATTCTCCAGCATTGTGGAATTAAACACAGCTTTTAATACCTTCCAAACCCCTTGGATCTGCTTCAAAAGGTATTTTCCTGCTGCTACTTATCCTGCAGTGGTCAACAAACAGGGTTGCCTTGTCTGATTTCTTCCAAGGAGGGAGGTTATTAGTCTGCTCCTGTGTCTCTCGTGACCTTTGGAATAAATTGGGATTGGGACTTCATGCAGCCACATGTTTTATCCTTCCATGTGTTGCTGCAGTGGCTGTCCTGCCAAGCTCTCACTTGTGTTCTGAGCCTGCCTTGGGAAGGTTCCCAATGATTCCCAAATCTGTCTGCAGGTGGAGTGTCCTGTTCTGTAGCCAAGATGTGGCTGTCTGTGTCCATCCTGTGTGTCCTGGTGGCCTTTGCCAATGCTCGCAGCATTCCTTACTACCCTCCTCTCTCCAATGACTTGGTCAACCACATAAACAAGCTCAACACCACCTGGAAGGTGAGTACAAGGTTGTTTTCTGGGGGAGGCTTTTAAATGTATTGCTCAGCAGCCTGTGGGACTCAATAGCTGAGCTTTGGGAGTCCCATCATGGGGGTTGCATCAAACCAGCCCTGGTCTCAGTTGACTTCTCCAGTGAGTTGATGTTGTTAGGGATTTGTGCAGTGATGGTAACTGTGGAGCTTCTTTTTGGAGCAGAGCAGTGGTCAAAGCCTGAAGTTGGACCTTAGCTCACTGGTCATGATGCAGTGATCCTGGAAGGGGCTGTGTTTTGTGTCAGGAGGTAGCTTGGCTCTAGAGCCCCTGGGTTTTATAGCAAGTATCAGACACTGCCTGGGTTTAAGGGAGATCTGGAGCAGAGGCTGGTCCCAGAAATACCCTTGATGGCTGTGAAGAGTCATGTCCTGTTTCTCTGTCTCTTCCCAGGCAGGGCACAATTTCCACAATGTTGACATGAGCTATGTGAAGAAGCTCTGTGGCACCTTCCTGAATGGGCCCAAGCTTCCCGAAAGGTGAGTGCTGGGAGGAGATGATGAGGGCCCTTTAGCAGCTTCTGTGTATGTTCTTGGTGTGTCTGGAGTGGGTGAGGATCTCCCCTAGCAGGCTGTGAGTGGGGTTCCCCTGGGTGCAGCTTGGACATCTTGCATGGTGTTAAGCAGAGAAGCATGCATGGGGTGAATGTCTGTCCTCTGTCCTGCCAGGTGTTTGCCCAGTCCTTGAAACTTAAAACACTGGAGGAGCTGCTGACCTGGTCTGAGGACTTCAGAAGTGTTTATTTTCCTTCTGTAGGCAAACAACAAGGACACTTGTGCTCCAGGTCACCTTCAAAGCAGGTTGGAGAGTCCTGCACACCTAATCCTGTTACACTGGTGTTCCTATAACAGGACTCCTCTCTTCTCACTTGCAGGGTGGATTTTGCTGGAGACATGGAGCTGCCCGATAGCTTTGACTCAAGGACACAGTGGCCAAACTGTCCCACCATCAATGAGATAAGAGACCAGGGCTCTTGTGGCTCTTGCTGGGTAAGACTGTGGTTGGTTTAAGGTTGTATTGATACAGAGTTTGCAACTTAACTGCATAAATATGGGGACATGGCAGGTCCTGTGGTGTCTGAGCTTCTTGCTGGGCCTCTCCCAGCCAGGTTCACGCCTGCTGCACTCATTGCCAGGAGGTTTCTGTCCCCTGGCCATTTCTAATGGTCTTCTCCTGGGTTTCTGCAGGCTTTCGGTGCCGTAGAAGCGATTTCAGACAGGATCTGCGTCCACAGCAACGCCAAGATGAGCGTGGAGGTCTCTGCAGAGGACCTGCTGTCGTGCTGCGGCTTCGAATGCGGCATGGGGTGAGCTGCTCCTGGCTCTCGGGTGCTTAAAACGTGGGCAGGAGGAGCAGGGCCACAACCTGTAGATACTGATCATTTCAGCCTTGTCTTCTTGGTCTCCTGAATGAGCAGGAAGCCCCACCAGTGGTTTGTGCCATGGATGTTGGTGTTAGGTGGGAATGTAAAGGGGACTGCGTGGACCGGGAGTCCCTCGGGGCCATGTCCTGCCTCCAGCAGTTGCAGGATGATGACAGATGGTGTAGAGAGGCCAAGCACATAGTGATGCTTTCCCATACAGAGCTGGATCTTTCAATAGCCCCAATGCCTTGGTTTTCTGGCACAAACCTTTTGCCTGTGGAAGCTGTGGCTGCCCCATCCCTGGAAGTGTTCAAGGCCAGGTTGGATGGGGCATGGAAGAACCCGGTCTAGTGGAAGGTGTGCTGGCCCATGGCAGAGGGGTTGGAACTAGATGATCTTTGAAGTCCCTTCCAACCCAAACCATTCTGTGATTCTTGCCCTGTGGCTTTGGTGTCTTGAGGCCTAGAAATTCTGGGGAAGGCAAGGACAGATTTGAAAAGGATCAACCTGCTGGATCAATCCCAAGCTGGCTGTTTGCCTCTCCTCCCCCAAAAGGGGATGGCTCTGAGCAGGCTGGAGCTGGAACTGCTGCTTCTTTCTCCAGGTGCAATGGTGGTTACCCCTCTGGTGCGTGGAGGTACTGGACAGAAAGGGGCCTCGTGTCTGGTGGTCTCTATGACTCCCATGTGGGTAAGTTCTGGCAGATTCCCTCCTTCTGAAGGCAAGGAGGAGCATCTCTGCATGGTTACAGGTTCAGGGTGCTTCCCTTCTGGCCTGCATCCTTGTGGCTACTCCCTCCTTCAGGTCTGGGCTCAAGCACTTTTGCTAGCCCAGCTGGCTGCTCCTGTCCTCCTGGTCACCCATTTGGGACAGGAGTCCTTGAGCAGCACCTGGTGGCAGAAGACCCATCCAGGTAGTTGACCCATCTGGCCAACACAGTGGTCAGACCTAACAGCCCCACAAGGCTCCTGCTTCCATAGCAGGAA